AAAATGAACCATAAATCAGATGAAACAATATGCTTAACATTACGATTTGCTTTGTTAAGACTATAGACAGAATAATGCGTCGAATAAAGATAAAACTAATTGCAGATACTTACATTAGATTGAAAATATATCGACAATATGCTTATAGTGAGTTAGTATTCGAATTGGTTGAAAGTATGTAAAACTATCCATTTATATATGCGAAAGCCATTTTCGGAGTTCCAGCTTTAAATTGGAAGTGAATACTGCATTCGTATTTTATCTTTTATTGAATAGCATCACTTCTCCATTTGTATAAAACATCAATAGATAAAATAATCATGACTTAGTATTTTACGTCACTTAATAATTTTTTCCATACAGCATTAGGGCCAACCCCATATGTTTGTTATCCAAAGATATTTGAAGAGAACAAAAAATATACACTTAATCTCTGACTTTGTCAGAGATTTTATCAAAAACAAGTAATGTTAAATATCAAGTATTATGACGTGTTCTGTATATTCCATGTAGAATAGAATGTGCTAAGATGTTGTTTTTAGAGAAAATATTGATGGAACATCTTTGATCGATAAATCGAAGACTCAAAACTGCGTGTATGTTGATGCTTTATTGCGACGCAAATAACAATACTATCGTGGGAAAAATAACAGGAGCGAATGAATCACTTCCAACTTTAATTTGAAACTGTGATATCAGTCTTTATGCAAATACATTTTATGCAGACTGGCGATATGGAAGAAGGTGGAGAGATGTCAATAGATACGGCAAAAACCGAAACAATGGAGAAGAATCTTGATTCAGTTCGGCTGTGATGAAGTAAAACAACTTCTCTTTTCAGAAGTAACGTCTATTGTTTGTAAGAACCACACTCTCCTATTGTATATCTGTAAGCTGTTTTCATCAGAATGGTAAGAATAGTGATTCAGAGAAAGAAACTATTTTGATTGAGAGTTGTATCCAATTTTTAGATTTCCTTTTTTGTTTTGATGATACAAATAATTTTTGTCTCACTATACAATGGTTGAAAAATGTTGGTGTGTAAAGCAACACTAATGTTAACGTTTCACTTCAGCAATGAGAATTTTCGATGATATTCATTGTAACTCAAGTTTAGAAAGAGAAATAAGAATCAACATAAAGCGAATTCGAATAACTGTTCCCGAAGCAATGTTCGAACGCTTTTTCAGTATTTGTACATGTGTCGAACAAGCATGATCATGATTTCGTGTTTGTTACAAGACTCATCAGATGGATTTTACTCTGTATCTGTTCAAAGATGAGTTTATCGCCTTTCTTTCCTAATTTTAATATCAAACCCTAATCTGAGGAGAAAAGTCGGCTTCAAAATGCCAACACGTTAGCTTGTTAGGTTTAGTAATAAATCGAAACGTTTTACAAATGGTTCGGATTAGTTCGACATGTCCGAATAAGTTATTCCTTCCTTGGACCTGACATGAAACGAATTTTTCAAAAACTTAATTCAAATGACTAGTCTATTATTGAACTCCAGTCGAATGATAAAGGGAGGCAAAACATGCCACTATTCAGATGATTTTCAATTCAACTTAAACAAAAGGAGAAAAATAAACAAATGGAAAACTTGTCTATTCTGTGTGTTATGTCAGGAGGAACATCTCCTGACATAAGAGGGCTCTCTCTGTAATATCACTGCTCTCGTTAATGGCATTCATTCCCGTCGCTCCATGACATCTCTTTGTTCTGAAAATAAACAAGGAGGTGTATCATGGAACAAGAGAGAAAGAGAGAAACAACCTTCTTTGCTGCTTTTTTTTGTTTTGATTCATTTGCTTGTTTTGTTTTGAAAAGAAAAAAATGAGAATAATAAAGAAAACTAGGAAAAGGACCTAACAATTTTGTGCACTAGCTGGAGTTATTTATTATTCATCTAATTAATGTAAGTTAATACGACAAGGTGCTACACGATTCATCGAAGCTGAATTTCATCGATTAGCCAATATTGATATTAGCTTCCCTGATCATACAACAATACATTCAGTAGTTTGTTGCCCAACAGAATTCATCCTGGCAGAAAAAACTGTCGCAACACTTCTCAGTAAAACATTGGAACAAGCACCTAAATATTCCGGTAAACCAGATGAAGATGCTCATGAGTGGTTGAAGGATTTAACTGCTACCTTTCGCATGGCTGATATTTACAGAATCACAAGCATTAAAAATAATATCAACATTTTTGGAAGGACATGCTAAGCAATGGTTTAATGAAAACATTACAATATTCGAATCCTGGAGTGTATTTAAAGCTGAATTTATTCATACGTATTCATCTCCAGCAGCAAACCAATTAGCGTCCAACCACTTACGAACTCGTCAACAAAGATATGATGAAGCTGTTATTGAATATTACACAGATGTTATGAAATTATGCAAATTAGTTGATTCAAACATGACTGATGCATCCAAACTTGATCATTTATATCGCGGATTAAAATCATCTTTAATGAAAGAAGTATTACGTCAAGCTCCATCAACACCATCAGAATTTTTCGAACAAGCACGATGCGAAGAAAATTTAGAACGTCTAGTTACTACGTCTGTTCATCAAACAAATGATAATGATACACAAGCAATAAATTACCCCAACAATTCATTATACAGACCTACACAATCTACTGAATCTATGCACTATCAAAATTCACCAAATATATATTCTGGAGGTTATTCCACAAACGTATATTCACCTCGATCACCATATAATCGATTTCATCATCAATCATCGCCACGTCATCCATCTCAAGCTCAACAATCTTCGTTTAATGCTTTACGTTATCAGCCGCGCCCCTTACGATGTTATCTATGTCAGAAACTGGGCCATTTTGCTCGTGATTGTAGATCTGCAAAAAACTATTAAGGGAGTCAAATGATGGTAGTGACTCCGACCCATCGCGATCATCATTATTTTCTTCATCAGCAAATAATACCTATTCTGTACCAAAACCAAATATATACCACCGATTCGTTCCATTTCCCCTTTATCGTATTAATCGCAACACAATAAAATATCCGACTTACTCGTTACCCCCTCGCAAATCTCTAAAAATTAACCACTCTTGACAACATCTTGGTAACTTCATCGAAAAACATCGCACCGTCAACCAAAATATTAAAAAGCCCAACCCATCATTAATTTTTATCCACACTACTGTCAATGGATCACGTCTACGTGCTATGCTCGATACTGGAGCCACTCATTCATTTATCACTCAACGTGCATTGAGCACGTTATACCATTCAGCAGTACCATCATCTGATCGTATAGCTCAATTAGGTGATGGTCACACCGTGCTTAAAATACTGGGTGAAGTTCAATTATTATTGCAATTTGATAGAGCTTTTACACCTTTAAACGTACTCGTCGTAAAAACAATGAATACAGATTTTATACTTGGCAGTGATTGGTGTACTAAAAATGCAGCAAGAATTGATTATCATACAAATCAAGTGTCTATATGTTCAAAAAACGGCCGTATCTTTATTCCATGCGACAGATGCATTGATTATTTAACTTTTGATGTCAGATCAATTAATCTACTTCATATACCTCCACGTGAATCATACACTGTTCAAGCCAAAGTCGAATTATCATCAGCTGATACCGTCTACTTCTCGCCTGTCGATGTTATACAATCCGAAAAATCTATTGTCATGTCCCCATCGTTGTTACACATAAATAATTATACCACATATTTAGAAGTATATAATCCACATGATTATACCTACACTTTACCAACAAATACTCTTCTAGGTCGAGTAACACACACACCGTATCAAGCGCACTCATGCTTATTATTTGATCCATCTAGTACATCGTCATCGTTATCGTCTCAACATCATATTCTTAATACAATTGAACTCGAACAAACACCTTCTGAA